TTATTGCTAATGAAGTTTCAGTATGTGTGAGATATGTTTTCTCTCTCTCTCTTCTCTTCATACCGTATACGTTCAAATTTTCGAGGGTTCAAAATTTCGTGTTTTCAATGAAATTTGCTCAAAAGTTAATATTCGTGTGAGCTAATTTTCGTGTTCTGGCCATAGTCTACATACAATAGAATGGCATTAGAGGTGGTTTAAATTTCGTGGATTTAAGGTGAGCACGAAAATAACGAAATTTAATACACCTCGAAAATTAAGACGCGTACGGTAGGTTGATAAGCTTCAGAGAGTATTGACAGCTTTTTGCAATCACAATAAGAACATTGGATACTGCCAGGTAGCTCTGAAATTACATTTTCTGATACATATTGATGTCCTTATGCTGTGTAAAAAGTTTGAGCTGATTCCGACTGAAATTATTCAAGTTACGGCCATTTTAAGAAATAGCCCAAAATCTGAAAAGTACCAAAGGCTATAGCCCATGCTTTTTTCGGAAAAATGGCCAAAAAATGACCCCCAATTTTTATCACATTTTCTGATACATATTGATGTCCTTATGCTGTGTAGAAAGTTTGAGCTAATTCCAACTTAAATTTTTCAAGTTATGGCCATTTTACGAAATGGGCCAAAATCTGAAAAGTACCCAAGGCTATAGCCCATGGTTTTTTCCAAAAAATGACTAAAAAATGACCCCCAATTTTTATTACATTTTCTGATACATATTGACGTCCTTATGCTATGCAGAAAGTTTGAGCTGATTCCGACTTAAATTATTCAAGTTACGGCCATTTTAAGAAATAGGCCAAAATCTGAAAAGTACCCAAGGCTATAGCCCATGGTTTTTTCCAAAAATGGCCAAAAACGACCCCCAATTTTTATTACATTTTCTGATACATATTGATGTACTTGTGCTGTGTAGAAAGTTTGAGCTAATTCCGACTTAAATTTTTCAAGTTACGGCCATTTTAAGAACTAGGCCAATATTTGATAAAGCTATACAATATATGATATTGTTATCATTCTTGTCTCAGGTATTTGGTGACAGTTATTGAAAAGCTAATGCCTTCCAGATATTTCTCTGACGGACTATCAGCTGCTCAAGCAGACCAGGTACATAATTATACATGTACATGTATATTGATGTTTTTAAATGAGCTGAAATGGGTGCATTTGACCCAATCAATTTGGTAATTGGTCCACGTCAGATATTGTTTTATTTTTGGCTGAAAATTCACAAAGAATGATGCTAATCTTAATACACTTTTTAAAACAACTTTTGGAGCTAAATTATTCATTCAAAATGGGACAGATTAGAACCAAATTGGTTACTGTACATGTACATTAAAGTTATTGAGTTATAATTTTTGATATTTATATAATTTTTATTTTCTTCTCTAGTTGGTACTAAAAGAGCTGATCCAAAATAAACTGCCTTTATTGAATGAGCACCTTCTCTCTAATGATATTGATGTCACTATCGTCACTTTTAACTGGTTCCTAACACTTTTCATTGATGCACTACCTACAGAAGTAAATAAATAAATAAATAAATAAGTAAAATAATAAATAATAAAATGTTTTTTTTTCTATTAATTTTCTTCTTCTCAGTCCATGCTAAGGATCATTGATGTTTTCCTGTTCGAAGGTCGTAAGGTTTTGTTTAGAGTCTCGCTGTCGATTCTCAAGTTGTACGAGAGGAGGATACTGAGTATGGTTGATCCAGTCACTATATTTCAATTCATCAAGGAAGTCGCCAAACACATTTTTAATGTTGAGGAACTTTTTAAAGTGAGAGAGAAGAGAGAGAAGAAAGAGAGAGAGAGGGAGAGAGATTATGTAGAGCTTTGCGACTTTGAAAAAGTGTGTGGCTAGTGGCTACAATAAAAATGTACAGTACTACATTTTAAAAATTCTTACTATTATTATTCATCTTCTTGTATGTTTTAGGTTGCTTTTAACGATTTTGAGCCATTCCCAAGAAGAAACACCATCGCTAGCAAATGTCAGCCGTTTGCCACTCAGTTTTACGAAGAGTACCAGGAGAGACTCAAACAAAAGAGAAAGTCTCAATTACTAGCACCTGCTAATAAACCAAGTCAACCGTCACTGACTCTCACGCCTTCTCTCAAAATAA